ATTACAGCTGTATTGTGATACTGTTTACTATCTGGGTTACAGCTATATTGTGAGACTGTTTACTATCTGGGTTACAGCTGTATTGTGAGACTGTTTACTATCTAGGTTACAGCTGTATTGTGATACTGTTTACTATCTGGGTTACAGCTTTATTGTGATACTGTTTACTATCTGGGTTACAGCTGTATTGTGATACTGTTTACTATCTGTGTTACAGCTGTATTGTGATCCTGTTTACTATCTGGATTACAGCTGTATTGTGATACTGTTAACTATCAGGGTTACTATCTGGGTTACAGCTGTATTGTGATACTGTTTACTATCTGGGTTACAGCTGTATTGTGATCCTGTTTACTATCTGGATTACAGCTGTATTGTGATACTGTTTACTATCTGTGTTACCGCTGTATTGTGATACTGTTTACTATCTGGGTTACAGCTGTATTGTGATCCTGTTTACTATCTGGGTTACAGCTGTATTGTGATACTGTTTACTATCTGGGTTACAGCTGTATTGTGATACTGTTTATTATCTGGGTTACAGCTGTATTGTGATGCTGTTTACTATCTGGATTACAGCTGTATTGTGATACTGTTTACTATCTGGGTTACAGCTGTATTGTGATACTGTTTACTATCTGGATTACAGCTGTATTGTGATACTGTTTACTATCTGGGTTACAGCTGTATTGTGATACTGTTTACTATCTGGGTTACAGCTGTATTGTGATACTGTTTATTATCTGGGTTATAGCTGTATTGTGATACTGTTAACTATCAGGGTTACAGCTGTATTGTGAGACTGTTTACTATCTGTGTAACAGCTGTATTGTGAGACTTTTTACGATATGGGTTACAGCTGTATTGTGATACTGTTTACTATCTGGGTAACAACTGTGTTGTGATCCTGTTTACTTTCTAGGTTATAGCTGTATTGTGATGCTGTTTACTTTCTGGGTTACAGCTGTATTGTGATACTGTTTACTATCTGGGTTACCGCTTTTTTGTGATACTGTTTACTATCTGGGTTACAGCTGTATTGTGATGCTGTTCACTATCTGGTTTACAGCTGTATTGTGGTGTTGTTTACTATCTGGGTTACAGTTGTATTGTGGTACTATCTGGGTTACTGCTGTATTGTGATACTGTTTACTGTCTGGGTTACAGCTGTATTGTGATACTGTTTACTATCTGGGTTACAGCTGTATTGTGAGACTGTTTACGATATGGGTTCCAGCTGTATTGTGATACTGTTTACTATCTGGGTTACAGCTGTATTGTGATACTGTTAACTATCAGGGTTACTATCTGGATTACAGCTGTATTGTGATACTGTTTACTATCTGGGTTACAGCTGTATTGTGAGACTGTTTACTATCTGTGTTACAGCTGTATTGTGAGACTGTTCACTATCTGTGTTACAGCTGTATTGTGAGACTGTTTACGATATGGGTTACAGCTGTATTGTGATACTGTTTACTATCTGGATTACAGCTGTATTGTGATACTGTTTACTATCTGGGTTACAGCTATATTGTGAGACTGTTTACTATCTGGGTTACAGCTGTATTGTGAGACTGTTTACTATCTGGGTTACAGCTGTATTGTGATACTGTTTACTATCTGAGTTACAGCTTTATTGTGATACTGTTAACTATCAGGGTTACTATCTGGGTTACAGCTGTATTGTGATACTGTTTACTATCTGGATTACAGCTGTATTGTGATACTGTTTACTATCTGGGTTACCGCTGTATTGTGATACTGTTTACTATCTGAGTTACAGCTTTATTGTGATACTGTTAACTATCAGGGTTACTATCTGGGTTACAGCTGTATTGTGAGACTGTTTACTATCTGTGTTACAGCTGTATTGTGATACTGTTTACTATCTGGGTTACAGCTGTATTGTGATACTGTTTACTATCTGTGTTACAGCTGTATTGTGATACTGTTTACTATCTGGGTTACAGCTGTATTGTGAGACTGTTTATTATCTGGGTTACAGCTGTATTGTCAGACTGTTTACGATATGGGTTACAGCTGTATTGTGATACTGATTACTATCTGGGTTACAGCTGTATTGTGATACTGTTAACTATCAGGGTTACTATCTGGATTACAGCTGTATTGTGATACTGTTTACTATCTGGGTTACAGCTGTATTGTGAAACTGTTTACTATCTGTGTTACAGCTGTATTGTGATACTGTTTACTATCTGGGTTACAGCTGTATTGTGATACTGTTTACTATCTGGGTTACAGCTGTATTGTGATACTGTTTACTATCTGGGTTACAGCTGTATTGTGATACTGTTTACTATCTGGGTTACAGCTGTATTGTGATACTGTTTACTATCTGGGTTATAGCTGTATTGTGATACTGTTAACTATCAGGGTTACAGCTGTATTGTGATACTGTTTACTATCTGGGTTACAGCTGTATTGTGATACTGTTTACTATCTGGGTTACAGCTGTATTGTGATACTGTTTACTATCTGGGTTACAGCTGTATTGTGATACTGCTTACTATCTGGGTTACAGCTGTATTGTGATACTGTTTACTATCTGGGTTACAGCTGTATTGTGATACTGTTTACTATCTGGGTTACAGCTGTATTGTGATACTGTTTACTATCTGGGTTACAGCTGTATTGTGATACTGTTTACTATCTGGGTTACAGCTGTATTGTGATACTGTTTACTATCTGGGTTACAGCTTTATTGTGATACTGTTTATACAAGAAGTGGAATTCATGATATATGGTTTTAACAAAAGTCAAAAGAGCTTTTGATCAATCTTCAACATCCTCTTCTAAAACTTACCTGTGGAAACATTTGATATTCCACTGTGAACACAACAACCATATTCCATTCTAAACAGAAAGAACGCCTTCGGTCTCTTGGGTTTTTTTCCATGAACGGTGAATGGTGATACAAATATTCTTTTGTGAAGTAAATCATATAATTTATGTCTGACTGACAACATTTTCTTCGAGTTGAGGTAATATCTTCCAACAGACTATTGGCATTCCAATGTGTAGTAACAGTGCCCCTCTGTTGACTGACTTGTTTTTGTTTTCATAGGCAGCTCAATTCATTGTAGAGCGTATCAAATAAAGTCACAAAGACCTCACAAAGTCAGATATACTGATGACACATTGTGTTTCTATAACAAAGAATTTATTGATCAGGCACATCGTATATACCCACCAGGTTTGGAAATCAAAGACATAGACTCTTCTATATCAGCTGCTTACTTCGATCATTCTCTGCGGCGAAATCAACATGGACAGCTGTCCACTTAATAATAGTCAACTTCTTTTTCTGGATAGTGACATGCCTGCATTCCCAAAATATGGTGTAAGTATGTCGCAGTTGACTGGATATTCTAAGGCCTGTTCTTTGTGTGATATGGAGCTGGACGTATTTGATGCTCGTTAGTTTATTTGTTAGTTCTGTCGTTGTATACCTTGTTCTGATTTAGCTGTTACGAGACATTGCTTACACTTACATACTTGGTTTACATGTTGGGTGTCGTCAATGAAGCAAAAGACTCCTACTCTTTCGACAAAAACCCGGTTCTGAATCTACTAGTACCTTTTAACAGGTCTCCGTGTAAATCTTTTTTTTTTTTTTTTTTTTTTTTTTTTTTTCACATATTTTGTCCTAGTTTTATTATTTCAATATTATTATTAAACCATAATTTTAAGACAAGATCAACTACAACGCTATGATTCTGTTCGTATGTTGGTATAACCTGGTATTTTAGTAACATGGCAGCACCAATGTATAGTATAGCTAGTGGTTTCTGTATCATAAACGTGGTTCTTATTTGAGAATGAGAAATTAACCAAGATTTACTTATTAACGGGTGTAATCTGTGAAGCAGAACTTATGGTAAACACTTTTTGTGTATATTTGCCCTGGCTTTGTTTATTTATCGAATTTGCGTGTGAAATATAGTATATATTCAACACAATACGGATTTACTGAAAATCATAATGGAACTAAACAAGCATTCCAAATCGACACAACAATGATCCAAGGGAAGTAACTCATATAACATGAACTACTCAACAGATTCCTGCATTCTGACTCCCGTTTGCCAACATAGAAGTGACCTGTAGTGTCAAAATAACTTAATCAACTACAAGAAATTTTGGAATTATGAAATAAAAATACAGAAACACTGTGTTGTACAAGTTTAGCTATCGACAAATTGTAATACCTATTAAACATATTGGGTCTTGAATAAACTGTGGACTATGAACATTTTAGTTTTAGAAGTTCGTGGATATGTAACTTAGTAGAAAGGGCTATTCACAATTCATCATCAGGTTTATCACACAACATTATACACAAATACACAAAGATTTGGTGTGTTGTATCCATTATAGAACATCAGGTCAGTCAGCTTTAATGGTGAGTAAATCTGGTTACCAGAGCCTGTTCGCTCTCTTCCTCTGCTTTGTGGCCAAGCAGACACCTTGTGTGCGTTAGAAATGAACATCAAATCAGTCGACATGTGGTGTTTCACAACACGTCAAAACTTTAATATAACGATACTAATTTAGCGTTTATGTAGCTCTATAAATATTGATACCAGAAAGAGAAACATGTTTTTAACTAAAGACGTGTATTGACGGTGTCGGTGGGGAGTTTGGCGGCTGCTGGTATCATCTGATTAGTATATCCGAGTATAGATCAGTAACATATCCGGACCAATCTCTGTAATTAACCCGTATGTAAACAAACAAGTCTGCCCGACACAGCCTGCCAGCGTGAGGTACGGTTAGGAACACGGCCACGGCACTGTTAACACTGCAGGAGACCTACCGGACGACTGTCGAGTGCTTAATGTTGTCCAGACATCTCTACAGTGTATACCCCACCAGTACTATTCACACTGCTCCATAGCAACCATAAATGGTGCCAGGATGCCAGGAACGTCTCATAGTATTAGATCAGATTCCAGCATCACAGCGCATGCGTTAGCTCAAGTTTTGCGGAAGTTGCTGAGGCTAAAAGAAACGAGGCTTGTTTCTACCTATCCATCTTCTTTTTGGTGTTACAACGTCCGAACCAGCAAACCAACATGGTAAGTCTGACCCTTTTCCTTGTGAAATACTTCGATCTTTTTGGATTGTTTAATATATTCCTCCCGCTCTTGTATAACGGATACTTTTACCCGATTTCGACGCTGGTGTCTTAGGTAGTGAGACACACCTTTGAGAAGGACCTCCCGTCCATGACGGCCTAGTGTTTTCACAAATTAATTCTGGGATTTATTTCATTCTGTTTCAGACTGAGGAATTCAGACCGACAGAAAAACAGGTTCTCGGTAAGTAGGACGTATAACACACCTTTATCAATATAATTCTATCATTTCTATTAGAAATATTACACAAATCTTGTGTTATAATTTGTTAAATATGTTAAGTAACTAGTATATGTGATAATAGCAGTAATATTACTGTATTGTGACATCTACGACACTATCAGGTCCCCGTATCAATGTTAGAGAGTGTTATATGAGTACAGAAGCGTAAGACAACGCTTATCTTCACAATCAGTGATGAAACAACATGATAGAAGTGTACACACGATTGTCTGCACGTGAAATAGCTGTGGTGGGAAGATAGTATATGATTAGCTGAGATATAGTTGTTTATGCTACAGTAAGTAGGCCTTGGAACTCTCTAGGAGGTGCCTACCTTCCTGTTCATAGAGATAAAACACGGGGGGAACGCTTTTTTTCTAGAGATGCTGCACTGAAACCCGATACCCTCAATACGTGTCTGTCAGTCCCATATATGGAGGGTACACGTCACTGCCATAGCAACATCCCCGCGAACACATGTTACTAAGCAGAACCGCATTCGCTGTTACATGCTCTGTTAATATGTAAACAAGTTCAGCGTTGTACATCAATTGCTCCGCCCCTGTTTCACCACTGGGTTAAAATCCTTGTTTACGTTTTGGAGAAACAGATAATGTGTTTTTCATATTTTATATTAAAATGGAAGATGTGATTGGTCAAACTTAAGTTGATGAATAATTACGCTTTATCATATATTATATAGTACTTCATATTGTTTGATGTATTAATCCCGTCTGTTGTATGACAACAATACATCAGTTATATCATACAAAAAAACGTCCGTATATTTTTCTCTTATTGTATCACATATAGTTCAGTATCATAACACACATTTCTTGGTATCGTATCACATATCTTGTGTCGTAAAATAAGTGTACTTTCTTAGACTCGATCCTTTCACAATTCACTGCCAGATTTCCTTGAAACTTTCACATAATGATGATGGATGTAAAGATGATTTTCTGAAAAAATAAGCATCCCACTGAGTTGTTAAATGTTTGGTGAAAATACAAAACAAAAAAAAACTCTGATATTTCTGAAAGTTAAAATTTTTCTTAATTTTTTTTTTTTTGTATTTCTGAAAATCATAAAGACAAAATAAACATGAGAAAGTAAATTATATCTACTTTACAAATGTTTTATAAAAAAAGATACAAAACAATATTTTACAAAGTGAGTCAAATTCATATTTACTGGACATATTTCAATATTTACACTTAAAGTCCTCGCCTAGAATTGTTCCCGGGATAGGTTCTCTCCCTTTGCAATTATTAGGCACATTTTGTATTGGGTAGTATTATTGCATAACACATATATATGCCTATATACACCTGTTAAATACACCATTTGATACATATTCTTTTGTTTGACACTGCAATTAAAAGCTAAACAATCCTATTTTAAACCCGGCCAATATAAGACATGTAGCACATTGTTTGTCATGATTTCTTTTATTCACATTCTTATCAAAGTCCGGTGTCCTGGAGCACGAGTAACCTCTCATTCTTCCACACCAAGATGCACGTGCGTCATAAGCGTTTGCATTAATCTGTTCTATTTTTGTAACGGCTTATTATCGGCGTACATGCCAGGCACCATTCTAGTTTATGAGTGTGGATATGTCTCAGCCATTGTTCAACATAGCTCAGATAATGTGGTGAATGTTGTTTCGCGAAATGTACGTGCGATTGCATGCTTTGAGTTATGGGGCACGTGTATGGAGTTAGTCTGACGCTATAAACACAATTACAATCGGTATAAGCTTGATATATACGCTGTGGAAATCTGGCACATACACAGGAGTTCCTTTCGGTACTGGCCTGGTATTTACCGTTATTACCCAACAAAATACATTGATCACATAACTAAGTATACACACATGTTCATACAGATTCTAGTGCGACCGAAATTTCAAATTAAACAATGTCCGTTACAAAACTTATTTGATTGTAAATAATGTCGTTTTTATTCAAATTCTAGCTAAAAATCACGAGAGAAATTATTCTCCTTTTAACTTACAAATCGATGTATGCTGTTGAATATTAAAAGGTTTGTTCCGCGGTATTTTTCAGATGCCAAACAGGCATTTACTAACTTCGACAAAAAGAAGGAAGGAACAGTGTCATGTAAGGACCTCGGTTCCATCTTCAAGTCCCTTGGGCTGGTGATGAAAGATGACAAGATCAAGGATTGGTCCGACGAGATGGACGAAGAAGGTGGGTACTCCGAGTGAAAATGTAACATTTGTACACGTGTAGAGAAAGGCACGGGGCACGTCTAGAAACGACAAGCGTTTTTTTAGTGTAAACGATACTGGAAAATAGAGGATATTAATTTTACCGTTGAATCAATTCCATTTTTTTCAGTATTCATTCTTACAGGTAACCTAGTTCTTTGTAGTGGTAGTCAGTTTTGGGTGATGAACATTGTAACCTTCAAAGGTGACCATGTTTCTTCCTCTTGTTCTGAATCAAATACGCTTATATGAAACAAGCGTTTTGACGATCAGGAGCATCCGCGATCCTTCAGGGGCTACGATCTGCAAAGCGAAAGTGATTGTAACTCCTGGAGTATCGAGGTTCAGGAGCGGAGGCGATTAAACATGGCGACCTCGGTGAACCTCAGATATTGAACCGGGCGTCAGGATGATAGAACGTCCCAACGTCCGTTTGAGAATTAACACAGAAAATGTTGATATTTTGTTCAGTCTTTTTTTACGTGAAGGAGTGGACAGAACACGTTTGATATAATAGAATCTAGTTTTTATCGTTTCAACTACATTTTGATGAACAACACGACTGATGCTGAATGAGTTCTGAATCTTTTAATAAACAATGTATATACAAATGTATCACAATAAAGCTGCTCTCTCACTCACTATTAGCTGCAATGTTGGGAATGGTATGATAGTACATGTTATATAGTCATACCCGATGGAGGTACATCGTGAGATCTTTGGAAGCCTCACAAAAATACTTCTGTCTCTGTACTTCAAAAAGACTTTTTGAGAAAACATATTCACTTTCATGGTTTAAACATTCCCATTTTAATTATTCAATTTAAACATATTTACTGTCAGTCTTAGAACAAGATGTGGGGCACAGGTTATCACAACTTATTTAAGCCCTTTTCCATTATCATGGTCGCACACCTTTCGATAATTGTACAACTGAATGTCTTGTCTCATCTGTATTTTCCAGCAACTGGTAGGCTAAACTGCGATCAATGGATGGAACTTTTCGTGAGGAAACTTAAGGAAGATTTGGACGAGAGGGAACTAAAGGAAGCCTTCAGGGTACTCGATAAGGAAAAGAAAGGAGTAATCAAAGTGGACGTTTTAAGGTGGATCCTTAGTAGTTTAGGAGATGAACTAACAGAAGATGAAATAGAAAACATGATTGCTGAAACAGACACCGACGGAAGCGGAACTGTAGACTACGAAGGTAAGTACGCATGCGCTACTCTAAACTGCTGAGAAATTGATTATGCTTATGGTTTATTTACCAATAACTTTGCTTCATATTTTCTTGTTTTTTTTACCATTAACAATAAACATGTTTTCTTGATAAAATTAATAGTTATCTTGATTTTCTCAAACGAAATATGATGACAAACGTTGTTATACTACCGGGCAATTTAATTAAAGATAATTGAAGATACAAATGTATTAATTAGTTATCTAGTTACTTTCTGCATTGTTTGTGGTGAATTTTGTGAAATTGCTGTGATATTTACAGAGATGGTTAGTGTTCTGGTTAAAGGAGTATAATAGATCAACTAGAACGAACCAATGAAGAAAGTCTATCCGATTGTTGTGTATACATGTATGTCAAACAATACAGAACTTTTCCAAGTTCTTACCCGAGTACTATTTAATATTACCTTAAACAATTAGGAATATGATTAAATGCCCTGGTATGATTTTCTTTCGGCATACGGTTTTCATTGAATACTACAATTGCTTATGGCTACGATTAAATAACCCCTGAAATAGATTCAAGAAAAAATGACACTTTTCTCTGTTTTAATTGTTACCACGTGGTGTCATGTCTAAAATCATTGGTCAATTCTAGACCAATAATCCCAGACGGGATTGTGTAAGTCAGAGACAGAACACGTTACAGTGTCACTGGTAGTTAATCATAGATCAATAATCCCACGTTACAGTGTCACTGGTAGTTAATCCTAGATCAATAATCCCACGTTACAGTGTCACTGGTAGTTAATCCTAGATCAATAATACCACGTTACAGTGTCACTGGTAGTTAATCCTAGACCAATAATCCCAGACAGGATTGTGTAAGTCAGAGACAGAACACGTTACAGTGTCACTGGTAGTTAATCCTAGATCAATAATCCCAGACAGGATTGTGTAAGTCAGAGACAGAACACGTTACAGTGTCACTGGTAGTCATTCCTAGACCAATAATCCCACGTTACAGTGTCACTAGTAGTTAATCCTAGATCAATAATCCCACGTTACAGTGTCACTGGTAGTTAATCCTAGATCAATAATCCCACGTTACAGTGTCACTAGTAGTTACTCCTAGACCAATAATCCCACGTTAGAGTGTCACTGGTAGTTAATCCTAGATCAATAATCCCACGTTACAGTGTCACTGGTAGTTAATCCTAGACCAATAATCCCAGACAAGATTGTGTAAGTCAGACTAGAACACGTTACAGTGTCACTAGTAGTTAATCCTAGATCAATAATCCCACGTTACAGTGTCACTGGTTGTTAATTCTAGACCAATAATCCCACGTTACAGTGTCACTGGTAGTTAATCCTAGATCAATAATCCCACGTTACAGTGTCACTGGTAGTTAATCCTAGATCAATAATCCCACGTTACAGTGTCACTAGTAGTTACTCCTAGACCAATAATCCCACGTTAGAGTGTCACTGGTAGTTAATCCTAGATCAATAATCCCACGTTACAGTGTCACTGGTAGTTAATCCTAGACCAATAATCCCACGTTAGAGTGTCACTGGTAGTTAATCCTAGACCAATAATCCCAGACAAGATTGTGTAAGTCAGACTAGAACACGTTACAGTGTCACTGGTAGTCATTCCTAGATCAATAATCCCAGACAGGATTGTGTAAGTCAGAGATAGAACACGTTACAGTGTCACTGGTAGTCATTCCTAGACCAATAATCCCAGACAGGATTGTGTAAGTCAGAGATAGAACACGTTAGAGTGTCACTGGTAGTTACTCCTAGACCAATAATCCCGAATATGTTTGTATTTTGAAGGGATAATATGCATTTTCAGTGACACTATTGGTGTCTTTCATATAAATTTGACCTTATCCGCAGATTGTGAATCCTGTACTTGTTTACTATGGAAATTGACGTGCCATTTTTACTGCATCATAATACTTTGATTGTGTGGTAGTGTTAAACAGGGTTATCAATTGTTTTCATCTTGGCTGTGAACTAGATTGTACTTGACACGCCACAGACCGTTAACGAAAGTCTCAAATATGTTCCATGGATTTATGTCAAACAGGGAGAGGGTAGATAGGCGTCACACAGGGAGAGGGTGGATAGGCGTCATACACAGGAAGATAGTAGATAGGTGTCAAACACAGGGGAGGGTAGATAGGTGTCATATACAGGGAGTGTGTAGATAGGTGTCATACAGGGGGAGGGTAGATAGGTGTCACACACAGGGAGATGGTAGACAGGTGTCATACACAGGGAGAGGATAGACAGGTGTCATACGCAGGGAGATGGTAGACAGGTGTCATATACAGGAAGAGAGTAGAAAGGTGTCATACACAGGGAGAGGATAGGCAGGTGTCACACACAGGGAGAGGGTAGATAGGTGTCATACACAGGAAGAGGGTAGAAAGGTGTCATACACAGGGAGATGGTAGACAGGTGTCATACATAGGGAGATGGTAGACAGGTGTCATACACAGGGTGAGGATAGACAGGTGTCACACAGAGGAAGAGGGTAGATAGGTGTCATACACAGGGAGAGGGTAGAAAGGTGTCATACACAGGAAGAGGATAGACAGGTGTCACACACAGGGAGAGGGTAGATAGGTGTCATACACAGGAAAAAGAGGGTAAATAGGTGTCATACACAGGGAGAGGGTAGAAAGGTGTCATACATAAGGAGAGGGTAGACAGGTGTCACACAGGGAGAGGGTAGATAGGTGTCACACACAGGGAGAGGGTAGAAAGGTGTCATGCACAGGGAGAGGATAGATAGGTGTCATACATATTGAGAGGGTAGACAGGTGTCATACATAGGGAGAGGGTAGAAAGGTGTCATACACAGGGAGAGGGTAGATAGGTGTCACACACAGGGAGATGGTAGACAGGTGTCATACACAGGGAGATGGTAGACAGGTGTCATACACAGGGAGAAGGTAGATAGGTGTCATACATAGGGAGAGGATAGACAGGTGTCATACACAGGGAGAGGATAGACAGGTGTCACACAGAGGAAGAGGGAAGATAGGTGTCATACACAGGGAGAGGGTAGATAGGTGTCATACACAGGGAGAGGGTGCAACACAGGGAGAGGGTAATGATTACACTTTGAGTTTACGAAATGTGCGTTATATCCATTTTTCCAGTTGCCCGCCAAGGCTTTGTATGCATGCGTTACGTTGGTTCTACATGTCTATGTATCACATATTTGATCTCAAACTCTTTTCTTCTATAAAGGATACAAACTCTATTCTTCTATAAATGATACAAACTCTATTCTTCTATAAATGATACAAACTCTATTCTTCTATAAAGGATACAAACTCTATTCTTCTATAAAGGATACAAACTCTATTCTTCTATAAAGGATACAATCTCTATTCTTCTATAAAGGATATGTAATGTTTTGTGCATTTTATATCTCAGCAGGTTACTCATCACAGATTGTACCTGTTAGGTTAATGAGTATGTCGATACATGTCGAGTGTCTAGATACTGTTCCATCTCCCCTGTCAAAACAGAAAATTCATTTTTACATTTTGCGACCCTCATAATTTAAAAATAGAGTTCATGTATGTTTCTATTTTTTGGATAAGTAAAAGTTTATTTTTTTATGTAAAAGGTCAAAAACATAGCTTGATTAAAAGTGGAATAGCTTGTATCAGCTGTGGAATATTTATAACATAACGGTTTACATAACTCCTTATATTACGTTCCTCCTACCTATAAGATAACAAATTGTCCTTTGTAAACAGCATTGGACCATCATCTACACGTGGTCTTTTCTCACTAATACCACCAGTAGTGGTACGGTACAGAATATAAACATTATGAAATATTATATATATCAAAATTATAAATTTGTTTAATTTTGGGACGAGTGCACCTGCCCATCTAGAATTCGGTTTTTCTCTCGGTTACTGCGGATTTTCCTCAGTCGCCTCCTGGGCTTCAAATTTTAGGCTCTTAACATTACTGACGTGTCCTAGAAGGACTGAACAGATGTACGATACAGTTTAATTCATTGTTTGGTCTGTACCTAACTCTAAATTTATGATGAAGTTGCTATTCACTTGTGTCGTTTGTGTGTTCTTCCAGGTCTTATTTTCGTTATCGTTTTGATTATCTATTTCAGACCTTCCGACTTGTATATTCTACAGTTGTGTTTTTGTGTGCAATAGTTAGGCTTGATTTCCAAGTTCCCCTCGCTTGTCCCTCTCTTTTACGCTACGAAACACAACTTCAAGGCCATTTGAAATGGGAGCAAAAAGCGCGCTGACCTACAGATCGAAGTGTGGAGAATATCGATCTGCTGTAAACTGGACAATTTGCGCAATTTGAACTAAGCAAATACGCTAATTTTGATAATTTGTCGGATAAGATAATTTAATGACAAGATAGCACAATTGTATCCACACAGAGCTCAGCACACGAATAGTGTACAAAACTGTAACCCTTATTTGTAGCGATATGTACCCAAACTAGCATTGTATTGACTTACACCCACAATGAAGAAGATTCAGATTTCGACATGCGCTAAACGGAAACGTTCATGTGTTGCGTCTTTATCAGCCATTATTGTCTTCGTTACATTTTTCTCTTTATCAATATTGGGAAAAAAAGTTTTTTTTTTAAATGAATTAAGGAATGAAAAAATGTAGTTATTTTTGCACACACATAAATAGGGCTTTATACTAAGTAATATTTTGGGGTTTTTTGTTTCATGGTGAAACGAGAGAATTGGTTTTGGGGATTTGTGATATCAATATCTTCAAGTTGAGGTTTTAATCTGTGATCTCTGAAGAATATCTGGCTTGCGTACATGGCATTAAGTCAACAGAATATACAAAGCTCCCTTGAAGAGGAACATAGTATAAATATATTTTGACTTTATCAAAAATCAATTTTTTTTCTAAATCTTGGCCAAAATATGCAAGTAAAGGTATCCGCAGTTCACAATTATCACATTGTCTTATCATTTCTTATGCTATTGATTAAAGCTGGTATTTATCGAGCCTGGGCCCAATAGGACTGTAATGGGGCTGCACAAGGGATGATGGAGGTACTGACAAAATGACTTAAATCGTGAGAGAGATATATGTTGGGGCACCAGGTTTGATTCCTCTTCATTGCTCTTACAAAAGATTCTTTATTAGAGCCCTGTTGATCGATTTCACTTAGTCACATGACATGTCTCTATGAATGTTTTTATTTTCATTACAGAATTCAAATGTCTGATGATGTCCAGTGACGCGTGATGACAAGCTGGATACTGAGCCGGTTCTGTTTGCCATATACTCGCACGCATGCGTGAAAAATTCCAACATGTTGACTTTTAAATGAAATGTCAACCCACTGAAGATAAACATCTATATAGAGCAATACCCAACCTAGCAAAGTGTTCGGCCAGCGAACGCGGTACAGACTCTCGCAGCGTGCACCAATTCCATTGTACCAATCTATAGTAGGGGTTCCCAGAAACTCAATCATGGCATCATTATTTTGTGTCTTCCCATAATTCCGTTCTATATTTAACACATGCGCACTAACCTGCTTGCCCAGTAACCCGCTACTAGTCGTTTTCTTTTGCTTGCGGTGTGAAATAATCACTTTCTTTTTTTCATTACAAGGCGCTATGCAGCTTGTCTGTTTCTGCATCCCTGATAATATTTCTTCTATCAATTACAGAATTCAAAGCTTTGATGATTGGTGCTTGATTAGAGAACATCAAGAAAGCGTGTCCAATCAGATTTAGTGTTGGTAGCAGACCCTTGGACGTGACACCACTGGGTACGGCTATACTCACCCACGGAACGTTAATCATAACACGATCTTAATGCATAAGGGATTTTCATCAGTAGTCATTAACTCCGCATCAACAGTATACACGACTTCCTGTGTATTACACGTCCTCTTGCCTGCTGTCACTCAAAGCACTCCAATAACAGAACCGCCGGTCAGATACACAAAGTCTCTTTGTATATCGTCACCCGGAGTTAACCCGACGTCACACTGTGACGTCATCCTCTGACCGAGAGCATTCCAGCCTTAATACTTGTACTCACTGTTGTTGCTGGAGCTTGCACAAAGCATCGGTAGCGAATGCTTACTTATATCACTAGTCTCTGTTTGTGTCTAAAAGTATATGTCTGTTCCATTTACAGAGTACCATCGGAAAAGCACGAAATTTTTATATACATGTATGTATACACGCTCATTTTTATCCAAATATATAATTTTATCATAATACATATATTTTACATGAATTATACCGAGTCTGTGCTTTCCCATGATGCTCAAGACAAAATGGATTCGGATATTGTATTTGAAATGATAATGAAAATAAGCTGCATAGATATAAAGTATATATATACACATATTTATAGTGTTGTTCTAACCTCCCAACACTGACAGATGTGCATGATCTCTTTGTTAAGTTCATGAGCACTAAGAAATTTTACTAATGACACTTCTCTTGCCAAGTAGCCGCAAGTTTTGTAGATTTTGCCTATCAGACCAGGTCCCGATGTATCGACCACCAAACTCTCGTATCCTTAGCCGCGTGGATGAGGAAGACAAACGATTGACGTGTTGTACATTTTGAAGGAATATATGAGTGACTGAAACTGTTAGCATTTATTGCCGGTGAAAATTTTGGCAATAAAGGTTTCTATGTAATGTACATATTAAAGAAAACAAAACGTACATTTTGTTTATTGTTTAGTTTGTTACCGTAGAGATTGGCACTGACACCCCGTGTAGCTATACCTCTTGGGATCATCAGTGACACCCCGTGTAGCTATACCTCTTGGGATCATCTGTGACACCCCGTGTAGCTATACCCCTTGGGATCATCAGTGACACCCCGTGTAGCTATACCCCTTGGGATCATCTGTGACACCCCGTGTAGCTATACCTCTTGGGATCATCACTGACACCCCGTGTAGCTATACCCCTTGGGATCATCAGTGACACCCCGTGTAGCTATACCCCTTGGGATCATCAGTGACACCCCGTGTAGCTATACCCCTTGGGATCATCAGTTACACCCCGTGTAGCTATACCCCTTGGGATCATCAGTGACACCCCGTGTAGCTATACCTCTTGGGGTCATCTGTGAAGATACCTACCTATAGCAAAATGGGAGTTTATCGTCATTATGTACACTATTCCACCCGAGAACACTACAGTACATACCACGGTACGTCATTATGTCACGAGAACACTATTCCACCTGGAGACACTACAGTGTATACTATGGTACGTCATTATGTCATGAGAACACTATTCCACCTGGAGACACTACAGTACATACCACGGTACGTCATTATGTCACGAGAACACTATTCCACCTGGAGACACTACAGTACATACCACGGTACGTCATTATGTCACGAGAACACTATTCCACCTGGAGACACTACAATGTATACTATGGTACGTCATTATGTCATGAGAACACTATTCCACCTGGAGACACTACAGTGTATACTATGGTACGTCATTATGTCATGAGAACACTATTCCACCTGGAGACACTACAGTACATACCACGGTACGTCATTATGTCATGAGAACACTATTCCACCTGGAGACACTACAGTACATACCACGGTACGTCATTATGTCACGAGAACACTATTCCACCTGGAGACACTACAGTACATACCACGGTACGTCATTATGTCACGAGAACACTATTCCACCTGGAGACACTACAGTACATACCACGGTACGTCATTATGTCACGAGAACACTATTCCACCTGAGACACTACAGTGTATACTATGGTACGTCATTATGTCACGAGAACACTATTCCACCTGAGACACTACAGTACATAACATGATACGTCATTATGAAAATACCAGTGTAAGTTAGAACACCACCTTTTTCCATCAATACAACCTCCACAGGACGTCATAATGACACTGTCATTATACGTCTTAACGACTGTTACCGCTGTACGGCTTGGCGACCGTATTTCACTACATCATGACGACATCCTTGTACCTTTAGACGACCATAGTTATGTACGGCTAAGTACAACAATATACATTACGACGATTGTAGTTCTGTACATCATGACGACATCCCGGTAGGTTACGACGATTGTAGTTCTGTACATCATGACGACATCCCGGTACGTTACGACGATTGTAGTTCTGTACATCATGACGACATCCCGGTACGTTACGACGATTGTAGTTCTGTACATCATGACAACATCCCGGTACGTTACGACGATTGTAGTTCTGTACATCATGACAACATCCCGGTACGTTACGACGATTGTAGTTCTGTACATCATGACAACATCCCGGTACGTTACGACGATTCTACTTCTGTACATCATGACGTCATCCAGGTACGTTACGACGATCGTAGTTCTGTACATCATAACCACATCCCCGGTACGTTACGACGATTGTAGTTCTGTACAGCATGACAACATCCTGGTACGTTACGACGATTCTAGTGCTACACATTATGACGTCATCCCTTGTACATTACGACGATTCTACTTCTGTACATCATAACCACATCCCGGTATGTTACGACAATTGTAGTTCTGTACATCATGACAACATTCCGGTACGTTTAGACGATTGTAGTTCTGTACATCATGACGACATCCCTGTACGTTACGACGATTCTACTTCTGTACATCATAACCACATCTCGGTACGTTACGACGATTGTAGTTCTGTACATCCTGACAACATCCCGGTACGTTACGACGATTGTAGTTCTGTACATCATGACGACATCCCGGTACGTTACGACGATGGTAGTTCTGTACATCATGACGACATCCCGGTATGTTACGACGATTGTAGTTTTGTACATCATGACGACATCCCGGTACGTTACGACCATGGTAGTTCTGTACATCGTGACGACATCCCGGTATGTTACGACGATTGTAGTTCTGTACATCATGACAACATCCCGGTACGTTACGACGACTGTAGTTCTGTACATCCTGACGTCACCCCTGTACGTTACGACGATTGTAGTTCTGTACATCCTGACAACATCCCGGTACGTTACGACGATTCTACTTCTGTACATTATGACGACATCCCGGTACGTTACGACGATTCTACTTCTGTACATCATGACAACATCCCGGTACGTTACGACGATTCTACTTCTGTACATCATGACGACATTCTCGGTACGTTTAGACGGTACTAGTGCTACACATCTTGACACCATCCCGGTACGTTACGACGACTGTAGTTCTGTACATCCTGACGTCACCCCTGTACGTTACGACGATTGTAGTTCTGTACATCCTGACAACATCCCGGTACGTTACGACGATTGTAGTTCTGTACATCATGACAACATCCCGGTACGTTACGACGATTCTAGTTCTGTACATCATGACAACATCCTGGTACGTTACGACGATTCTAGTTCTGGACATCCTGACGTCACCCCTGTACGTTACGACGATTCTACTTCTGTACATCATGACGACATCCCGGTACGTTACGACGATTGTAGTTCTGTACATCATGACAACATCCTGGTACGTTACGACGATTGTAGTTCTGTACATCATTATATGTGGTCACTACTCACATAAGAAAATATAAGCGAACAGTTTACCCGCGTTAATAGGCATTGCTCTCAGGTGTCTATTTCTGCTTTTTTTTATCTATACTGGGCGATCGAGAGTCCAGTTTGATCAGAAGAATGTTTTCCATGAAAATAGCACGATCTCAGCATTTATTAAGAACAGTGTTTCGAAAACGAGGCTACATCAACAGCACTAATATTTTGATTCAATTTCATCGTTAATAGTTGTTTACAACATTGGTAGCAAGACGGTACATCATGACCGTGCTTCTGGACATCGATGCGTCATGGCGACTGTGTCTCTGGACCTTTGTACACCATGGCGACCGTGACTCTGGACCTCTGTACATGATGACCGTGTGTCTGGACCTCAGTACACCATGACGACAGTTCCCCTGGACCACTGTACACCATGACGACCGTGCCTCTGTACAACATGACGACCGTGCTTTTGTACAACATGACTACCGTTCTTCTGTACAACATGACGACCGTTCTTCTGTACAACATGACGACCGTGCTTCTGTACAACATGACGACCTTGCTTCTGTACAACATGACGGCCGTGCTTCTGTACAACATGACCACCATGCCTCTGTACAACATGACGACCGTGCTTCTGTACAACATGACGACCGTGCTTCTGTACAACATGACGGCCGTGCTTCTGTACAACATGACGTCCGTGCTTCTGTACAACATGACGACCGTGCTTCTGTACAACATGACGACCATGCTTCTATACAACATGATGACCGTGCCTCTGTACACCATGACGACCGTGTCTCTGGACCTCTGTGCGTCATGACGACCATGTTTCTGGACCTCTGTGCATCACGACCGTGTCTCTGGACCTCTGTGCATCGCGACTGTGTCTCTGGACCTCTGTGCATCACGACCGTGTCTCTGGACCTCTGTGCATCACGACCGTGTCTCTGGACCTCTGTGCATCACGACCGTGTCTCTGGACCTCTTTGCATCACGACTGTGTCTCTGGACCTCTGTGCATCATGACCGTGTCTCTGGACCTCTGTGCATCACGACCGTGTCTCTGGACCTCTGTGCATCACGACCGTGTCTCTGGACCTCTGTGCATCACGACTGTGTCTCTGGACCTCTGTGCATCATGACCGTGTCTCTGGACCTCTGTGCATCTCGACCGTGTCTCTGGACCTCTGTGCATCACGACCGTGTCTCTGGACCTCTGTGCATCACGATCGTGCCTTTGGACCTCTGTGCATCATGACCGTGTCTCTGGACCTCTGTGCGTCGTGACGACCATGTCTCTGGACCTCTGTGCGTCGTAACGACCATGTCTCTGGACATCTGTGCGTCGTGACGACCATGTCTCTGGATTTCTGTGCGTCATGACGACCATGTTTCTGGACACCATGATGACCGTGACTCCGGATCTCTGTACACCATGATGACCTTGACTCTGGATCTCTGTACACCATGACGACCGTGACTCTGGATCTCTGTGCGTCGTGACGACCATGTTTCTGGACTTCTGTACAGTATGACGACCATGTTTCTGGACTTCTGTACAGTATGACGACCGTGCCCCTTCATGACAACATCTATTTAAATGATGACGCTACCTCTTTACGTCATGACAACTCTATTTCGAGGCAATCCAGGGCGGCTTTAACCCTGTACATGATCTATCGGTCTGTAAATTGTAGAAAAATAACATAAGTATGTATACATATTTTCCTAATAGCATCATAGATTAATTCCTGCTTATCCACTGTCACGATTCAGCCAGGAGGATGTCTTAAACAAATGCTGATTTACTTTACGATCATAACATATATCACACAAAGAATTTTTCAACATACACCATGATGAACTCATCCTACTTTTCTCGAAATCATACATGGATATCGAGACGTCGGGAACAGGTCATAGAACAGGGAATTAACTGTAAACTCGAGGAAGCAGGTAAACTCGAGGAAGCAGGTTGTTGCATTCTACAAATGAAAAAAAATCACAATTGGTTATTTGAAATCACCACGCCTAAGATCACGATAAGCGGCTGGTGAAGAAGTCTGTTCATGTCTTATTTTGGCGTGTATTCCTGATATTTATAGGCAAGACAACTGACAAAACCAAGAAAATACCAACATATCAACATAATCATAATCCAAACTCAAATTCAATGAAACTCGGGCAAAATAAAATTTTAAAAAATGGAAAGATTTACACTCCTGCAAAAGTACAAAGAGAATATGACCAGGTGCTCGGAAATGGTCTTCTGGCTCATCGAGGACAACCGCCTTGTGAATTTTTGTCAGTTTAAGTAATAATGTCACGTTCTCAAATGAGAACAAGGTATACAGCAACAGAACCGACAGGCAAACTAACGAGCATCAAACAAGTCTAGCTTCATGTTTCACATTTATAACTATGACGACCATAATTGTCATCAACGAAAATCGTGATAAAGAGAACAGGCCCTTTCATATCGAATCAGCTGCGACTTTTGAACACCGTAGGCTGCAGATTCAGAAATGTTGCCATCCAAAAATTGAAAATTTACAACTGGGAAATTTAAACCATCACGTTTATCATACAGTTTAGTGGAAAGCTGTCCACATTTGTTTCGTTGTAGAAAAAGATCGAGATAAGCGGCTGATGTCCAATTCCGGTGAGCTATACTATGAGCATGGTCAATAAATCTCTATTTATTTAAAGACGTCATCAGTATATCTGAAAGTATAATTGAAGGACTTTGAAAGTTTTTTTTACCTGTTTGATAAGCTTTCGATAAGTTCAGCTTCGTATGAAAACAAAAACAAGTCTACCAACAGAAAGGCACAGTTAGTTCCCATAGGTATGGCAAAAGACGATCTTACCACCAAACTCGACGAAAATGTCAACCAGAACCTCGATCATTTTTATGATTTCGTCCGCCGTATATTTCTTCTTTGATTTGCACGTACTTTTCATGCAATATGCTTCAGTATAGTTCACAACTATATATTTTTACACCCGTTCACATTTCTTGGAGAAAAGAACTCGTTATAAGAGAAGGAATGTGTTCTTTCAGTCTAGAGTAGGGTTTGGTGGTGTATTGAAAAATCAAAGGTTGTAGAAGAGATGATTTCATAGGCTGACATTGGAGACATTTTAGAGTTCTTTAAAATCCACACACTATGAATTCCACTTCTTGAGTGAACAGTACTTCAGTGTGAAATTGAAGTTTGGCAAGGTTATTAATACATATTTTGATACCCACTTACATAAAGTCAGTCTCCTTGTGAAACAAAGTTGGCAGTGATGGGAGAACAGTTAGATCTCACTTGTATGTCAATAATGGAACCCACAATTTAACCATGATTTCATCTTCAGTGCATTTCAGTCTTGTTTTACACGCATTTTTCACGAAATGCATCCCAGTGCAGTTCAGAACCTTTCTTGGAAAGAAAGCTCTCGGAGAATGAAAGGGGTTTTCTTTAGTTTGAAACGGAAATGGAGAGATGTTTTTTGGAAAGATTTAGTTATAATTATATACTTAAGGTATTGATAAATTCAAAATACTCCGTGTCTCCGTCTTCCCTAAATTTCCAGATTAATTTTAGTCATATGTAAACATCACGGAAGTTGCTGTAAATATCGATACATACTTAAATGTGATATTGTACTTAAGGAGAAACAATACACGTATATAGAATCTTATCCGAGTTTTCATTTGATGTGGAGATTTATGAGACGGGTCTAGGAGTTCTTTCATCGAGCGTGCGGCTAAATAAAAAAGCGACGAGTCATACATCACAATCAAAAGGACACAAATTGAAGATCCTTTTTACCTCATGATCGAATTTTTAATCAAACATGGTAGAAAAAGAACATTTATATGTCAACGTTAAGTCATGTCCGCTATATATCTATGGTCTCCATTGTTACGTCACTATGCAATCAGAATGTGTGACGTCATTTTATTATATAAAGGAGCGTCACAATAATCTATATTACACGTGCGTAGTACACAAAAATATTACAAATTATTCTGATTATTTTTAAGTTTTCGCAGTTTCTTTTCCCTATTAGTCCTAATTTGCATACCAAGCAATATGTGGTTATCCCTATGTAAAACACTATGATGTACAAACAGACCAATTCTGAAATAGACAACATAAAGTTACACAAATATCTACACTATACTGCACCTAGCCGGGACATGTATTATAATTTTTACAGCAAATTTTATAACATTTATATACGAATCTGCAATATGTTTTTTTTTCTGAATGCCTCCTCTGCTTGTGTCCAGTCTCTGAGCGGAGAGTATGACACAATAAACAGTGTGCTGGCAAGTCCTTTATGAAATATACGGTTCATTCACAATCACTGTTTTTGATATGTAAAGGAGACTGATACCATAACATCTCTAGATTTTTCATGAACAACAAAAGTTTGTTGTATACTAGGTTGATTACAATTCTATTTTACATTAAATTGTCAACACATGTACTTTTTACACTACATCAATAGCAGACATACGAATAGGGTACCATTCTCACCAGACCCCTCTTTATCTTCTCTACATAAAGAAACATCCTTTGTTCACTCTAGATATTTATCTTCTTTATTTATACTAGATATTTATCAAACATTCACCAGAGCTCTGTTATATCTACACCGTACACCAGTCTAACAGATGAATTTCATTACTTGGCCATCAAGAAATGAGCTTAGTTTGATATGTTCTCCTGAAACCAAATTTTAATTTCCCTTTACGCGAACTTTGCCTTTCTTAGTTGTGAGAACCTGCTTCCCGAGACGTGATGTTCCTGTCATGTTACAGCTTACTGCATATAGAGAGTTTCTTCACAAGATCATGAATCCCATGAACGTCTAACGCATGAATTTTGAAACCTCTTTCTTTGATAGTGTCCATGTTTTTTCATATGTAGTTATATGCTTCGACAAAGCTTGGGAAAAAGATTCAAGATACATTCGTAATTTGATCCTCGCACGCTAACTTCATACATGCTGAAGATAGAACTATACTTTTTGTAAAATCCATAGTTTAATATGCAGATTCGATTGATAAATGTGCCACAGGGAAGTTCATACAAACGACACATGTGACAACTCGGATATGGTTTAATAATGATATTATGCCGTGTAACTAGATAGCTACATAGGGCCAGACTGTAATACCAAAAACATGGTGGTAACAGCTGGGAACATCGATCTGCAGCAACATCAGTTTATACTATTGGGTACAACAGTTACATAGCACAAGAACAAAACTAAATACACAAAGTGAGATATGACAGATTAGGACAGGTGGAAAGACTGGACAAATTGTGATGGACGACAGGACAGTCGATGACGCGTTCAGATCAGCAGGACAAGTGCCGGGTTTGGAGATATGGAGAATAGAGGTATGATAATGAGGTTGAATCATAAACAGACGGGAATCACGGCTGTAGATTTGGAGGGAAGAGGTTGAATCATAACAGACGGGAATCACGGCTGTAGATATGGAGGGTAGAGGCTGAATCATTGAAAGACGGGAATCCACGGCTGTAGATATGGAGGGTAGAGGTTGAATCATAACAGACGGTAATCACGGCTGTAGATATGGAGGGAAGAGGTTGCAATATTGACAGACGGGAATCATGGCTGTAGATATGGAGGGTAGAGGTTGCAATATTAACAGACGGGAATCACGGCTGTAGATTTGGAGGGTAGAGGTTGAATCATAACAGACGGGAATCACGGCTGTAGATATGGAGGGAAGAGGTTGCAATATTGACAGACGGGAATCATGGCTGTAGATATGGAGGGTAGAGGTTGCAATATTAACAGACGGGAATCACGGCTGTAGATTTGGAGGGTAGAGGTTGAATAATTGACAGACGGGAATCACGGCTGTAGATTTGGAGGGTAGAGGTTGAATAATTAACAGACGGGAATCACGGCTGTAGATTTGGAGGGTAGAGGTTGAATCATTTACAGACGAGAATCACGTAACAAAGTCCATTCACCTGTCACATATTTATGATATGTTTACACCTGTATATGATATATTTACACCTGTATATGATATGTTTACACCTGTATATATGTTTACACCTGTATATTTGTTTACACCTGTATATATGTTTACACCTGTATATGATATGTTTACACCTGTATATGATATGTTTACACCTGTATATATGTTTACACCTGTATATATGTTTACACCTGTATATGATATGTTTACACCTGTATATGATATGTTTACACCTGTATATGATATATTTACACCTGTATATATGTTTACACCTGTATATGATATATTTACACCTGTATATATGTGTACACCTGTACATGATATGTTTACACCTGTATATATGTGTACACCCTGTATATGATATGTTTACACCTGTATATATGTTTACACCTGTATATATGTTTACACCTGTATATGATATGTTTACACCTGTATATGATATATTTACACCTGTATCTATGTTTACACCTGTATATGATATGTTTACACCTGTATATATATGTACACCTGTATGTATGTTTACACCTGTATATGATATTGTTTACACCTGTATATGATATGTTTACACCTGTTTATATGTTTACACCTGTATATATGTGTACACCTGTATATGACATGATTAAACTGTATATATGTTTACACCTGTATATGATATGTGTACACCTGTATATAATATGTGTACACCTGTATATATGTGTACACTTGTATATGATATGTGTACACCTGTATATATGTGTACACCTGTATATGACATGTTTAAACTGTATAAGTGTTTACACCTGGATATATGTTTACACCTGTATATGATATGTTTACACATGTATATGATATGTTTACACCTGTTTATATGTTTACACCTGTATATATGTTTACACCTGTATATATGTTTACACCTGTATATATGTTTACACCTGTTTATATGTTTACACCTGTATACTATACTGTGGACTAAAACTACAACAAATATATTTGAAATTAAGTTTAGCTGGGTAATGAGTTTGTTGCTTCTATCATAGAAGTGTCATCTAAAGTCCTATCCCGATAAAATTTTCAGTTCATTCAGATCTTGAGACTGATCTAGAAGACACTATATAATACACTGCCCCGTCAGACTGATCTATAAGACACTATATAATACACTGCCCCGTCAGACTGATCTAGAAAACACTATATAATACACTGCATCGTCAGACTGATCTATAAGACACTATATAAAACACTGCCCCGTCAGACTGATCTAGAAAACACTATATAATACACTGCATCGTCAGACTGATCTATAAGACACTATATAAAACACTGCCCCGTCAGACTGATCTAGAAAACACTATATAATACACTGCATCGTCAGACTGATCTATAAGACACTATATAAAACACTGCCCCGTCAGACTGATCTATAAGACACTATATAAAACACTGCCCCGTCAGACTAATCTATAAGATACTATATAATACACTGCATCGTCAGACTGATCTAGAAGATACTATATAATACACTGCATCGTCAGACTGATCTAGAAAACACTATATAATACACTGCATCGTCAGACTGATCTAGAAAACACTATATAATACACTGCCCCTTCAGATGTTAATCTAGAAGATACTATATAATACACTGCATCGTCAGACTGATCTAGAAAACACTATATAAAACACTGCCCCTTCAGATGTTAATCTAGAAGATACTATATAAAACACTGCCCCTTCAGATGCTGATCTAGAAGATACTATATAATACACTGCATCGTCAGACTGATCTAGAAAACACTATATAATACACTGCCCCTTCAGATGTTAATCTAGAAGATACTATATAAAACACTGCCCCTTCAGATGTTAATCTAGAAGATACTATATAATACACTGCCCCGTCAGACTGATCTAGAAAACACTATATAATACACTGCATCGTCAGACTGATCTAGAAGATACTATATAATACACTGCATCGTCAGACTGATCTAGAAAACAATATATAATACACTGCATCGTCAGACTGATCTAGAAAACACTATATAATACACTGCATCGTCAGACTGATCTAGAAAACACTATATAATACACTGCATCGTCAGACTGATCTAGAAAACAATATATAATACACTGCCCCGTCAGACTGATCTAGAAGATACTATATAATACACTGCATCATCAGACTGATCTATAAGATACTATATAAAACACTGCCCTGTCAGACTGATCTAGAAAACACTATATAAAACACTGCATCGTCAGACTGATCTATAAGACACTATATAAAACACTGCCCCTTCAGATGTTAATCTAGAAGATACTATATAATACACTGCCCCGTCAGACTGATCTAGAAAACACTATATAATACACTGCCCCGTCAGACTGATCTAGAAAACACTATATAATACACTGCATCGTCAGACTGATCTATAAGACACTATATAAAACACTGCCCCTTCAGATGTTAATCTAGAAGATACTATATAATACACTGCCCCGTCAGACTGATCTAGGAAACACTATATAATATACTGCATCGTCAGACTGATCTATAAGACACTATATAAAACACTGCCCCTTCAGATGTTAATCTAGAAGATACTATATAATACACTGCCCCGTCAGACTGATCTAGAAAACACTATATAATACACTGCATCGTCAGACTGATCTATAAGACACTATATAAAACACTGCCCCTTCAGATGTTAATCTAGAAGATACTATATAATACACTGCCCCGTCAGACTGATCTAGAAAACACTATATAATACACTGCATCGTCAGACTGATCTATAAGACACTATATAAAACACTGCCCCTTCAGATGTTAATCTAGAAGATACTATATAATACACTGCCCCGTCAGATGCTGATCTAGAAGATACTATATAATACACTGCATCGTCAGACTGATCTAGAAAACACTATACAAAACACTGCCCCTTCAGATGTTAATCTAGAAGATACTATATAATACACTGCCCCGTCAGACTGATCTAGAAAACACTATATAATACACTGCCCCTTCAGATGTTAATCTAGAAGATACTATATAATACACTGCCCCGTCAGACTGATCTAGAAAACACTATATAATACACTGCATCGTCAGACTGATCTATAAGACACTATATAAAACACTGCCCCTTCAGATGTTAATCTAGAAGATACTATATAATACACTGCCCCGTCAGATGCTGATCTAGAAGACACTATATAATACAATGCCCCGTCAGATGCTGATCTAGAAGACACTATATAATACACTGCCCCGTCAGACGCTGATCTAAAAGACACTATATAATACACTGCCCCGTCAGACGCTGATCTAGAAGACACTATATAATAAATTGCCTCGTCAGACGCTGATCTAGATACACTATTCCGTCAGACACTGATCTGGAAGACACTATATAATACACTGTTCCGTCAGACACTGATTTAGAAGACACTATATAATACACTGCCCCGTCAGACTGATCTAGAAGACACTATATAATACACTGCCCCGTCAGACTGATCTTGAAGACACTATATAATACACTGCCCCGTCAGACTGATCTTGAAGACACACTGCCCCGTCAGACTGATCTTGAAGACACTATATAATACACTGCCCCGTCAGACTGATCTTGAAGACACTATATAATACACTGCCCCGTCAGACGCTGACTGATTTAGTGTAATGAAACAGAACGATCCTATTGCCATAAAATTGAATGGGCTGTTTTCTTATCTTTTTTTAATTTCTATATAAAACTAAATCTGATTAGCTGTACTTGTTTACCCTTCGCTGAGATCCACTGTGATGTGGTGTCAGGACGCCATCTCACCGAAATGATCACACACATGTTACATTAATACGATTTGACAGGAATATTTTAGTTCCGCGCATTAAGATTTTCTTTCATACCAGCATGAAACCAGCAAAATACTTTTGTCAAATCTTATAATTAATTTCTTAGATATGTTTCAAAAACTAGAAAACCTCACATAGATGTATAAAGGGCCTGTTTCCAGTAATGTTAATTCTCCATAGGAGCCTGCCCCCGTATAATTTCTTATCTAGCTCAACTACTGTTTTTTTCTTTTCCGAAAAATAATTTTACACCTTTCCGACACCCAGATTTCATAATTTCAGTGGAAATGTATTTTTATAAAGTTGTCAATTTCAGCATCAAAGACATAAGTTCGTAAATAAAAGAAGGTTATCTCGAAATTGTAATTCGCAACATAGTATAAATTTCTTTTGATAAATATTTCCAAAACATCGTGTTTATTCATAAAACATAAAAAAAATATATTCTCGGATGAAAATGCACTTGCAGAGACATAATTATGAAGAAAAATGCCATAAATTTGCAATTTTCTCCCGTTATATAGTTTTTGATGCAAATT